GTGTATTGGGAATTTGTTGACTGTTTTGTGTGAGTGATAGGAGATATTTTTTTTGTTGTTTTTGTGGTAAGTTGAAATGGTTTAAGATAAAGGTATAGGAACCAAATGGTTTTATTTATTATTATGCTCGCTAAGATTTCACAATCTTATGTCTACGTATTCTCAAAAGGAAGTTGAGAAATCAGAGTGTTCGTAGTTCCACCTACTAATGGGTGGAATTGGGTTTGAGAGAAGAGACAAATTGTCATCTTAAGGGAGATATCTCACCTATTCACCACAAACATTTTGAGAAAGAACATAAGGGAATAAGCTTTGAATTTGGATGTAGAAAATCCAGAGTAATGCCACATCTTCCTTTAAATGAGTCTTTGCATATTAAGAGAAGGACCTTGACTTGGATGTATAATCAATAAGTGTGCCACTTACATAACTTAAATGAAAGAAGTGTTTTTGGACCATAATAAGAGAGAGAATCCAGCTTGGATATTGAATCAACAAGTGTGCCACTTACATCACTTAAATGAAAAAAAGTGTGAAAATGTTTGTTTGAATAATATGGAAAATAAAATAGACATATCTTCAATAGAGATGACTCATGTCTCATCTCTGGGTAAGTGTTTTGAGTTTGAAGCTAAAGGTTGGCTAGGATTTGACTTGAAGTTTGAAGGTTTGAAGCCACAAAGGATAGGTTGTTGCCTTTAGGACTTCAAAGGGGAGTTCTCATTTCTTTGTTGAAGAGCTTTTGAGTTTGAAGTCTAACTTCCTTATATAAATCCCAAGAGGAGGCTAAGTTGATTGTGAAGTCTCCTTGTATAAATCCTAAGAGGAGGCTAGTGTTTGATGTCTCCTTGTACAAAGCCCAAGAGGAGGATAGTGTTTGAGGTTGGAACTTCAACTGGAGAGACCTAATGTTTTAGCTAGGTTGTAGTTGAAGGGAATCCTAATATTTTTGTGTTAAACATAAAGGGAATAGCTAAAAGGTTGCTCGCTAGGATCTCCTAATCCTATGCCTACATATCCTTAAGAAGGAAGTTAGAGCAATTGTAGTATAGGCTGGCACCCTGAACATAAACGTCAAGAGAAACTTAACACGACAAGCTTGTGAACAAGTGTAGTAATCAAGGATGATATAATCATGGTATGGTCTAGCATGATATATCAACAAGTGAATGAGTATCAGACAAGTAGATATGTTTATCATGGTAAGATTTTATGAAGGAAATACTTGAACATGTAAGCAAATATTTAGTCAATTAAATAAATCACAAAGAAATAAAAGCAAGAAAAATATTCAAGATGATCAAGGACCATATGAATGATAAAGGGTAATCAAAACCCTAATGAAAATTCATAAGCACATGAGCAAGATATTCAACTATGATTTAATAAAGGGTTTTGGAGAATTCAAACTCAAGTGGAAGCCTAAGTCATGCATCAAGGAGATTTTCAAAAAAGAAGAAAGAAGTTATTTTGAACAAAATCCTAAGGTTTCAAATGAATAACCAAAGTATTTTTCAAAAGAAAACAATACCTAAACAAGGTATGTATGGAGTATAAGTCCAAAACAAAATCATGTTATGATCTTAAATAAGACTTGCACAAAGTGTACTATGACCATGAGGACATGTATTTACAATTAGGTCAAGTAATTTTTTTAAAAAGAAATCATGAAAAGGTATGAAAAACACTTTAAAAAGTAATGGTTTTCAACCTAAGAAAAATAACAAAAATAAATATTATTTTTGGGATTTTCAAATGGATTTTCAAAATATACAAGATAAATGAGAAGTGTGAAAAAATTGGCTCAAAAAGATTAAATTTGATCAATGAAACAATTGAAGGAATTTGTGAAAAAAAGTGAAGAAATTAGGTGATAAAAAAAATAAGGATATCCCTCCCAAGGTTTGAACTCGCACACTTGGGGTGGAGAGTTTAAAACTTTACCATCTTAGCCATGTGTGTATGGCTAATAAAGAATGGCAGATGAAAATAATATATGAAAAATCTTTTTAAAAATGATTTAAAAAATAAAATCAAAAGGTCTGGGGTGAGAGGGATTTGAACCCCAAACCTACGGGTAACACAAAGCCTTATACAGACGCCTTCAACCATTGAGATGATAATACATCTGTTGATTCATTTTCATCAAAATAAATATATTATAAAAATTCATTTTATTTTTGAAATATGGCGCCATGGCCATCATCTTCATCAGCTTCATCATCTTCATCTTCTCCAAGTGCTATCTCTCAAAATGCACATCCAAATGGCACGATGTAAAAATGAAATTTGACAAGGTATTGAATGGTTCTATTCAATTTTATTTATTTTCAGTGTATCAAAAGAAATTGATTTGAAAACTGTATGAACCTTAAAATGAAATTCCATACAGTCATGATATCTAACAGTTAATTGAGGGAAAATGATCCTCATATTGCCAGAATCACATTGATAACTCGAATGAGCAGAAATGATGCATGAATCATAGAACGCCAAAGTTTGAGGCTTACCTTGTAAGTGGGAATTTGAAATCTTCCTTAGAAGTCTTACATATGCAACGTAATGATCCTAACAGCTTCCTTGACCCTCAAGGATGGCTTCTTAATGCTTAGAATAAGTTGAAACCTCCTGGATCATATGGCTCGAATCAAACTGCAGTTTGGTTCAAATGAGATGTGATGATGATGGTTCTGGTGTTACAAAAGTGATTAGAGGTTGTGGATAACTTTTATGATGATTATGTAAAGTGTTTGGATGGTTAAATTGAGTGGAAATGGACTGGTTTGAGAATTCCAAGTTTTCACTCTTTTAGAACCTTGAATTTTGCAAGAAGGAGGATTTGTGAGAAAACAAGCATTAGAAATGTTTTGGTGTACTTAAATGAAGCATAAGGGTCCCTATTTATAAGATAAATGTATCTGATATTTCGAGTTTGAAAGGATTTGGATGTAGGCTATTATCCAATAAATGATGTCATGTACCTATAACTTGAAAGCCAAGGCACACATGGGCTATTCTTCACATGGCTCACATTTTGATCTTTTGAGCTTTGTTCCTCAAGGCTTCATCATATCCTTTGATGTTCTAATCATCCTTGGGCAAATTGGAGGGGTTTTTATTTGTTGCAAAATCACTATAGCACTTTAATGCTAGAGGACAAAACCTCACTTCATACTTTTGAATGATTTTTTTTCACATACCAAGTGATGAAACTCCCAAAATTTAGTTATGCTTTGAAGAGCACATATTTTGTGATCATTTTGGTATTGATGTTGTGAAGATTTCAGGCTTGCAAGGCTTATCCAAATTGTGTGACACAAGCATGTTGCAAATCTGTCTTGAAATTTCAGCTTGATTAAGTCATATTGCAACATCCACAACTTCTTACTCAAGTAAAGGATTTTGATGTTCTTGAACGTTTTGGGAAGCTGGTATAATGTACTTCAAGTTTGATGTTCAAGGTTTATATTGAATCAAAGTGGATCGTGGAGAAAAATGACCCTAAAGTATGGAACCTCCAACTTCATGGCTTCATATCTCTCAATCTATGCATGTTTTGGGAATTCACCCTCATGGACAAAGTTGTAGTATGTAACAAGCTCTTCAATTTTATCTTTGAATCAAAGAAAATTGTTACTTAGATTGGAAGTTATGGCCTTGGCAAGTTAGCACTAAATTAGAGTTTTCTCATAACTTAGAAAAAAAAATATTTCTTCATGGTTGCCCTTTTTGCAAGTATCCTTCATCGTTGTAATAAAGCTCTGGCAGTGAAACAAAGTTCCAAGATTTTTCCATGAATTTCTTAACTGCATTCATCGAGAGAGAATCACCCAAAGCAAACAAAATCATTGCATTTTCCTAAAACTCCAATTCCTTTTCGACATCTGAATCTTCAATTTTGATTTCTATTTCACCATCGATAATTGATGGCGCAACAAATTCCACACTCATACCTCGATCCAGATTCATATTTCCTTGGATTACATCCACTCAGGGTTTGTGTTGTGTTTCCACGAGTATTTCTGAGGATGTAACTCTTTCCTTTTCCGTTCTTGCCTTCTCCTCTGACGATGTAACCATCACTGATGGCCTGCAAATCTCCTCTTGTGGCCTACTTGCATCCTCGACTTGTCCTTCTTCCACATCATTATCATGTTCAATAATTACTTGTGCTATGATTGTCCGTTCCACTCTTTTTCGGCGCGCTTCCACCTAATTTTTTGGCTGGCTGACGCCCCGTTTGCCCATGGTTCCAAAACAACAAAGCAATTCAGACCTTATTGAAAAAAAAATTTAAGCAATGTCTATGTGTGGCTATGAAAATTATTATGAATTCTCAACATTAAATTGTAATATGCCGATTAACATATTATATTAAAGCTTTTTCAAGCGGGTATGGATTCCTTCGCCTAATCTGATTCACTCACTAACACTCACTTTTATTTCTGATTATCTGGTTTTCGAGCCAATCCAATTTTTAAAATAATTAACTCTAAACTATATTCTAGTATTAATTATTCTCAATTGTGATATTTAATTATTCTTACCTATTACTATATTACAACGATATTTTTATTAGTACCTTTTATAAAAGCAAAATATTGTAGCAATTCAAAACGCAATATTATATGTAATATTTCATCTCCAACATTTTTTCTTTTTTGTCTCGGTTTTTATCACAAGGATCTCTACAATATTCTCCAAAATTGATTTTGAAACCTCTATCCACAAATCAAATGGTAAAGCAAAAACATACGGTTATGCAAAACAAGAAGATTGTATATAGTCTTTACCTGCTATTAATAATGTTTTATTTATATAAAAGTTTAAACCTTTAACTTATTTGCAAAATTTAATTAAATAACAATTCTTATATTTCACCCGGTACAATTTTTATGTGGTCAAAAATAGAGTTTATACTACTATATAATAAGTTAAAGCTTGCAATTATAGCTACTCTCTTGGAACACACAAAAAAGAGATTTGACAGCAAAACAAAACTATTGAAGAATGTAAGTTCTACAAATAGGACACGATCCTTGTTGTAATAGCCACTTGTCAATGCATTCTAAATGATAAACATGACTGCATTTTGGAAGTACTCTCACCAATTCTCCATCCTCTAAATCCTGCAAAATCAATTTGTTAACTTCTAAAGTCAAAAATGATATATCAATGGTTAAGATGAAATTTTTTGAGATGTAAAAAGATTTTGTTTCTGACCTGGAAGCAAATGGAGCAGCATGAATCATTGTATAATTTCATCATTTTGTTGGAGGAACTGAATTCATGAAATGGAAGTTTGATAATACAAGTTTGTGACATTCCTTTAACTCCCATGGTGTCATAAATATCTGAAACCACTCCTCCTCCATATGTTGTTTCTACTGAATTTATCTGAAAACATTTTAACTCTTTTTTTTAGCAAATGTAAGCCATAACTAATATTGTAATTCAATGTTTTGTACTAAACCTTACATAAGCTTGTGCAACAGTTGGACATATCCATTCCATAAACACTTTTCCATTTAATAAACTTGTCAACAAAGCTACCTGCATTTCCATACACCAAATTTTTTAAGAATATCAGACACGATATTGACACTAAAACTCTGAACACTATCCGAATATATGCTAGTGTCGTATCAGTATCAGTGTTAGACACAAAAATATTGGTGCTACGAGAAATGCTACCTTAGAAAAAGGCTCGCCAACAGAAGCAAAACTCATAAACTCTACGGCCGCAATGGCTCCTGCAATTGCTCCTCTGCAAGCTCCATCAAGAAAACCAGTTTCTGTGGTTTGTCCTTTGATAGCTCCTCCTATTGTTCCAATTATTGAACCTCCTAAAGTTCATAACACAACATTTTCACTCACTTTTTACAATAACATATACATAATATAAACAAGAGAAGCAAAATGTAACATACCTAGTGCTAGAACAAAAATGAATACAGCTAAAAAAATTCTCTCCATAACTTTCATGAATTTCTCAAATGCACAACACCCAATGACAGTAAAAACCTTGAAAGAAAGAGCTTCAATTGTTCCAGAAAACCAGTTAGTGAAAGTTGGTGAAGTAATGATAATAGCCATATTCAAATTGAGAAGATAATTAAGAATGATGTATATAGATGTGTTGCTTCAATAGGAGTGTGTAAGTACATATTTATAACCACTGAATCTCACTGATATTTATAGTATTTCAGTTATGATTTTTGGATATAAGAATAATATAGCAACTTTTACACCTCATTTTTTAATTTATCATGATAAATTACTCATTTTTTTAAACTTCTTTTTTCATATGTCTCAATAAATAACTAGTGTAAAAAGTATTGACAATGTTTTGATATTAAAAGATATTTTTGAGATAACTATCATTGGAGTGATGAGTAGTTGGTTACGTGTGTCAATTTTGTTGCTTCTGAGAACATTGGAAACTTTGAAAGATAAAAAATTCTCCTAACTATAAAATCTCATAAATTGTAGCAGCATTTACTGGTTACATAGAATTGAAATATATTTATAGAAAAAAGAGATTATAGTGAGTAAAATTACCAAATGGTGCTTGACTAATGAGGTTAGTTCATAAATTTGATCCGTTGAATTGAATGATTTTGTTGTCAGAGTTAATTAAATACTATACAGTTACTTGAAGAGCATTGTTAAATAAATGTTAACTTAGGGTGGTGGTTGAATTGGTTATCCATCATGTTTTGTACTAATATTTTTTATCATAAAATATTATAATTTTTTTTCTAAAAAAAATCATTTTAAAATGGGAGAATAATTTTTTTATATTTGGTTGGAATTAATTTCTCCCATTCATAAATATAAAAAAAAAATTCATTATTAAATTTAGGTGCATAGATATTTAATGGGCTCACAGTTTGAACAGCTAAGGTAAACAAAAACAAGGTGCTAGAAAGGTGGTTCCTGGTTATGTTGCATCTGTGGGCTGAAAAATAGTGTTAGTAATTGCATTAACTGAAGGGTAGATATATTTTTGTTTTTTATATTACATATCAAGTCACCTTCAATTCATCTGTTGTTATCATTATTCCATTTTTCTAAAATTCATACTCTAAATGGCCGACACATTTTGGTAACATATAAGAGAAAAATACAAGACAGAAATTGAAAAGGAAGTACATTTTTGACTTCATGCATATTTGTATCCTACAAGTTAAGTCATAAAATTAAATTTACAATATAGTTTTTATACAATTCAAGAATGTTGCGCATGTTAGGGAAATTGGGAATTAATTGATGCAAAGTTACACGATATGGTTACGTAAGGGTTGTTGGTGGGTAATTTAGAATTAAACGAATTTTATTTAAGCTAACAAAAATAATAGTATATACACAATAATTAAATAATAAGATAAAAGAGAATGAGGAATAATATTTCGTCCGTTTTTTTAAATTATAAATCGTTTTTTATTTTTTACACGTATTAAAAAATATAATAGTTTTTCAGACCACCTAATTGATACTAACGGGTTAAATCTCCCCATGCTTCAGGATCCCACAATAGTAATAAAGAGTGTGCTAAACTATTAGCAGTAGTAGAGACTGCTGCAGTTAAGAAGTTATAACCTTTTATATAAGAACTTGTCAACCTATGAGTATATCATAAATTACCAAGGTGATAGCTGTGAACCAACCACCAAGATAAAATAGGCGCAAGGAAAGAGCAATAGACTGGACCAACCCACAAAAACAAAACGGTTCCTTAGTAACCGGTCATCCATAAAAAAGAGAAATTATAAAAGATTTTACAAAATTTTCATTCATTAATGATATTAAAAAGTTAAATTTATATAATTGAAAAGTATAAAAATAATAATATTAATGATTTATTATTACAAATTTTTTCCCAAAAGTGATTTATAAAAAAACAAAGGTAGTACATTGTTATTTATTTAACCAATTTGATTCAAATTTACATTTGTAGGAGAGTTTAATAAATTCATTAGCATTTGACATGATAGAAAACAATCTAAGCGTTATGTTTAAAAGTTAATGTTGTAATAAATTTGATCATTTATAGGCTTTTTTTTGTTATTCTAAATTTCATTATTTAAGATAGTCAAAAGAAAATTCTTCAAGACCTCTTAAAACTACTAATATTCAATGACCCAAAAAAAATTGAGTACAAAAGATAAAAATCTAATTTATTTAGCAAAAATATTTTATAATTTAGAGGGATTAGTTGGAAAGTAAGAAAATATGTGCAAAATATAAATTTGTAGGGTTCCACCAAAAGATGTTAAGGTTAATCTTAATGGTTCCGGAACTTCTTAAAATTTTTGAGTGAAAGATTTTTTATCAAGTTATCACCATTGAAGACGGATGAACTAACTCTCGTGTTATGTAATTTTAAGAGATAGAAAATCGGCGACATGATATCGTTCTCTTCGATGGAGGAGATCTCAAAAGTTTTTGAGAGTTTAAGGTAAAACACATGATAGAAAATAAAAATTGGAATTCTCAAATTAAATTCTCTAGCAATTGGTATTTATGTGCTTAATAAATTTATTTTATTATTACAAACATTTTGATTAAAGATAAATTTAAGTTTGAGCGAAGAATTCAAGTCAAAATGAAAAATTAAGCAAAAGGTGTATATTTGATAAGAAAGAAATGCAAGAAGAAGAATGACCCAAGCTCAAAGTTATTCGAGGTTTAAATGGATTAAAAAATGATGGAAATAACAATTAATTGATTAACCCTAAAGAGATAATTGAATAGGAACTTTTATATATATTTCAAAATTCAAGCTTTACAATCGATTAACCCTAAGGGCATAATCAATTAGATGAATTTAAAATTTTCGTCGCCATCAACTAACCATCAAAATTAATTACATTATCGACTCTAATTGATTAAAAGCTTATATAATCTATTAGAAATGGCTAACAAAGTTAAGACGACTAGTGCATCAATTGATCCATAATTGGGCTAGTGCATTAATTGATCCATCACATGATATGGAGAAAGAGAAAATGGATTATGTGGTTTTCATATAGTTACTTGATAATAAGATTCTTAAGGCATATTGGCTTCAATGTTGAGGATAAGGAATCCTTAGAAAATACTACAAGAATAATAAATGTGGCATTATGGAAAATGCATATAAAAATCAACAATGGAGTGTTGGTCCAAAAACCTCCTCAAGCAAAGAAAGCAGCTTGAAGTTAACTAACTCATCAAGGAAGGGCTTCAATTCTAGATGATTTCAATTGCAAAATTCCTCGGACTCCTCCTACTGAAGGTCTCCTCAACACCCTCATCAAAGAACTGAGAAGAACCAACAAGAAAAACAACTATCGGGCGCTTTAGCTCATTCAAATGTTTCTTTGCTTGTGGCTTATTTTATTTTCCTTGAATTCTTTCTGTTTGTAATAATGTTTTCCCTCAATAAATATTTATTTTTTTATAATTGAATGTATCTTGGTTTATGATCCTTCCTTATTTAAAATTCTTTATCTATGTGCTTGAATCTATTTTCCTATCTGGTTATTATTTTCACATTTTTACTAATGCTAAAGGGGGAGAAGTATCATCTTAGGGAGAGTAGGTTATACTCTCTATTTTTTCAGGGGAGTTTAACCACTCAAATCTTTTGTCTATGTTTCTCTATTTATTCTACCTCTCTGAGAGATGTGTTTTCATCATTAAAATGGGAGATAATGTGGATTTATGTGCTTTTAGGTACAACTATTTGAATGGATCCGATGTTTGCGGTGTTTTTGATGACGAAAACACTATGATGTGAAGTCTTCATCTGAAGTATTGATAAAAGATGTTCTATCAATATCAAGATGTTATGTTTGTGATATATCAAGTCAAAGTCAATTAAGTAAATACCTAATGTCAATCAGCATTCAATGTAGTACTTGATGATCTCTAGTCAAGCAATTTCTGATGATGGTGTCTATCATAAAATTGGAGTATTGTAAAGATATTATAGTAACTTCTAAATTACCAAGGCAATACACACATTCACCTAAAAGGTGTTGTAACCTACCTCTTTGCTAAAACTCATTAAAACCTATGAAGAAACCATCAAAATGGTTCTCAAACCCGATCCGAAAGGATTGGTATCACTCAAATTCTACCTTCTCTATTTGTTACTTTTGTTATCTATGTACCTAATTGTTCATTTCACTCAGATTAAGCCAGTTGATTAACTCGTTCTCTTGATCACATTGTCACCTTCACTACCAATAATGTTTACCTGCAGGAACAGAGTTTGGGACGGATGATTGGCGTCAGATTTGAGTCTCAAGGCCTTTATTTCCTTTCAGTGTCATCTCAGACATGCTCAGTCAAATATTCTCCACTCACTATCCATGTTTAGTTAGTCCATCCCAGTCTTCCAAAACTACAAAAGTTTATGCAAATTTTATCAAAAGAATCCAATTTACATTGTGAGTCGTGTCAGTTAGCAAAACACACTCGTTGTCAATCTCAATCGAGTCAATTAACAATCTTCGTCCCTTTTTTCTTTAGCTCACTCTGATGTTTGGTGTCACTCGCGTACTGTCTCTATTCTTGAATCTAGGTATTTTGTCACCTTTATTAATGATTTTTCACGTTGAATCTAGGTTCTGGAGTTACGGTGAATCTAGGTATTTTGTCACCTTTAGATCACATTGAAGAAAGAAAAATATATCTGAATTATTTTTTATTTTTCAAAATTTTTAAAAAGAATTTAAAACTCAGTTTGGTGTGTTTATTCGTACCCTAAGAAGCGATAATGCTTGTGAATACTTATTTCAACAATTTCAAACTTTTATGTACAACAATGGTATACTCCACCAAACATCATACCCGCATACACCTCAATAAAATGGGGTAGGAGAGTGCAAAAATAGGCATCTCTTAGAAACCACTCAGACCCTACTTCACCATGGTAATGTTCCACTTCGATTCTAGGGGAGATGTTATACTAATGATATGTTACATTATAAACTGCATGCCCTTATCCATCCTTAACGAAAAAATACCTCACTCAATTATTTTCCTCATTCCCCTCTTCACCCAATTCCTCCACATGTCTTCGGGTCTACATGTTTTGTTCACAA